GCCATATATCCAGTGCTCCTGGGCAGCTCCAGTTCACAAGGCCTATGGCTTGCAAAATGTAATCAACCTTGTATACTGACACCCGGCTTTATTCAACACATTAAAACATAAAAATAGGTATTTCTGACACGTATTTGCAATAATGGTAAACTTCCATTTTTGTCAACAGTGAGGAGAGTAAGTTGAGAAAATAGTCCGAAAAGCCCCCCCGCCCCCTACTTCCAGCGTAACCAGTGGATCTCAGCTGAGGACTACAGTTGAGGTGGGGGGCGGGGGCTACACTGTGCATGGCACTCCCTGCCCCAGCCAGCCGTCCACAGTGACAGGGGCAGTCTCAATTTGTGTTTTTTCCTACATTCAGTCTCTTTACAGCCAGGCATACACGATATGTCTAACATTATTTGATTAATATTTAAACGTATTTTTTTCACAGTAGCTCCACTGAGAATATAAGTTTGGAGCTATTATGTTGAATTTTTCGATACTTTTAAGACTGCTCTGCCAGGAGAGAGGAAGGGCACAACCTTTATGCATCCAGTAAACACAGATGAAAGGAGCAGAATAACAGGGCCTCCAGTCCGTCTATTAGGATGCACTTTCATTTCTAGTGCACTGGTTGTGAGATACTTGAATATGAGAGTGCAGGCTTAGGAGATGGCCCTCGAGCTGATACCAAAAAAATAAATTGAGAAGTGATCTGAAGAACAATAACCAATAAAGCTGCAGACAAACACCACAAGAGCAGTCATTCCAAGTACGTGGACACCTGGTGGCGGGCACTGACCCAACACTATGTGTGTATACTGTCACCTAACAATTCCCAAGTGAGCCAGAAAGAAAAAACCTAGGAATACACACTTTAATTCTCTGCATTTCCTTTCTCTCACAGCCCCAAACCACGCTTCACTTACCTCCTATTCACAGGAGGGGGCAACCACAGTATAGCACGTTTTAAGACAGGGAGCAGAATGGAGTTAACTGGCTGACAGCTTCTGGTTTCTCAGGTCCTTTGCCAAAAATTGGGTCGTGGCTGAGGAGCTTTCAAGTAGAAAGTAGCCAGCTTTGGAAAAGTCTGTATTTTGAAGATTCCAAATCTAGGTTTATGATAGATTCTACAATTTCTGATTCTTAAAACAAATACTATGAACATGTCCCATGAGCTACCTTTATTATGCCTACACAAATTTTTAATCTAGCCCGTATGGACAGAAATGGTAACAGAAAGACTTTTTGGGAAATCACTTCAACAAACAGGAAAACTGCAGTCCAAGCACATGTAAGTCTTCGGAAATGAACATTTACACTGCTGAAGTAGCACTAAAGTTACAAACGACAGTAATCCAATGGCCGAAGGCCAGTAAATTCCATTGCAAACACATTTTGTTTTGTGCCAAAGTGATTCTTGCATGTGTGGCAGTAAATAGAAATGCAACAGTCTAATTACAAGCTCAAAAGCAAAATTGTTCCTGTTTTTCATACTTAATATATTTTCGGTAAGAAGTGTCCTCAGCAGCCACCTTTAATGTGCCACTTGAAAAACCAGATCCATTATTAGCAAGTACTTACATGTCTGAAATCCGTAAAAACAAAAAATAATCCTGATGTAACTAATTCGAATAGAGATGATACAACATTTTTCCAATTACCTGAATACTATATTCTGAGCAATGCACAAAGTAAATGTGCCACTAGGCTTGGCATCAGATAATCATTAAAATTTGTGCCCTGGCCAGTGTGGCTCAGTTAGATGGAGTGTCATCCTATCCCAGGTCAGGGCGCATATGGGAGGAAACCAATCAATGCTTCTCTCCCTCTCCCTCCCTCCCTTTCCCTCCCTCTAAGATCAATGAGCATGTCCTTGGGTGAGGATTTAAAAAAAAAAAACATCATTAGGCTTTGTAATCCTTTCCTCCTCTAACTTTTCCTACAGAACACTAGTAAATCATGTCAGCTCCACATTAAAAAAAAAAAAAAAGCAAGCCCTGGAACATATATTCTAACTTCTGCTCTAGAAAGGAATTTAGACCAAGGCAGGTCCACTTATTATTCACTGTACTCAGTACCCTCTGGTCCCAATGAGATGGGCTCCAGAGCATGAGGGTGAGGCCCTGGATTCAGCTCATCTGCACTGCTGGTCTGCAGAAACCACTGAGGCAATAACCATTCACTCATAAACTTTAAAGAGCATAATTAGTCTTAGGACATGTTTCAATAATTTGCTGTCACTATGCAAAGGAAACAAAGTATCTCCAACCATCCTATATTCAAATAATTTTATTTACTTCAGTTACTCACTATGTGAGACTCCAATAAAAATGTGTCTTTTGAGCCCTGGCTGGTGTGGCTCAGTGGATTGAGGGGTGGCCTGTGAGCCAACAGGTCACTGGTTCAATTCCCAGTCTAGGGCACATGCCTGGGTTGCAGGTCACGTCCCCAGTAGGTGGTGTGCCAGTGGCAACCACACACTGATGTTTCTCTCCCTCCCCTCCCCTCTGTCTAAAAATAGATAATTTTTTTTTAAATGTCTCTTTTGAGACATTTTTGAGAATTACTAACACAACTGCCATATATATAAAGATATTCAACAACAATGCAGTGACACTCCACCATATGCTGAAAACTGGATCCAAGAAGTTCTGTAGTTCAAAATGTGCAGGCCCTACTATTTCAAGGTAATGAAAAGACTGGGGTGAGGCTGCTGCAGAGGAGCAAGACAATAGCAGCCATATGACATCGAATCAGGGTACAGGGAGCATTATTGTGGGGATTTCACTATAAATGACTGCAATGATCACAAAAATGTCTTCTGGTTTAAGGCAGAGCTGGTCTGTTCAAATAAATTGCCCCAAATAATTTAATCAGAACCCTTGTAACAACAAATACTCATAAATTAAAGATGTACTTACATTTTGACTGTCAAAGCACATTAAAATATTGAAAGCTATTGGCATTAGAAATGTTCCTGAGTTTTGTATGTTTCACTGTTTCCTGTCAATCCAGGAAACAGGATTCAATCAACAGTAGGGAAATAAGATATAACCTACACAGAGTCTTAAAACTGTAACCTTAATTGGTTGTCATTCCCAATTGTAAACAAGCAATATGCATATTATGGCACTTGGCACAGGGTAAGTGTTCAATCAATATTTGTTGAATTAATGAATGAATGGCTCTTGAGGCTGAAAGAGCCTTAGGACAGCAGATAACTGAATAAAACAAACTTATTAAATTGCTCAACCTGACTCAAGCAGAACCCAAGCATTAAACCCTATTACATCTAACTTCATTACTATATTTTTTAAAAAATTGAGAAACCATACTATTCCTTTGCCAACCTCTCCATGCAACAACTTAGTATCCTTTAAACCATACTTTAAAAAAGTAACCCCAAAGTGCTGCTAACTTTTATATTCAGCTAACTTTTTTTTATCACTTCAACTTTATAAAGATGAGTATAGGCCATAGTGTTGTATAAAACATGAATACAGTAGGAGGACACCGAATGAAAATAAAATTACAATTAAATTTACATATTATCATTGCTAATTAATATTCCAGTCAATTTTGCATTGATTGGTGCTTCTAATAATGAAAGTGAATTGAGCCTAAACATACTTTTTCATTTCAAAATCACTATGAATATTCTATTCCACAATGACCCAGTACTGGTTCATACTTATTTTTTAAAGCTATTTACATGAATATTTTAAGTTGAGGAAAAGAGAAATACCAAATCTCTTAAAATATTTTAATTACACATTTCTAAAACTTATTCAAATACGAAGCCCCTTTTCTGTGCAAAGGACTACACTAAATACTTAAAAGCAGACAACACATGAACAAAAGTTAAAGTGGCAAACTTCTAGTGCAAACTCAAGTACCAAAAGTTTAATGAAACTGAAATTCCCTGTAAAGATCTAATTTTTAAAAAATTAGGTTTCGCATTTTAAATTCCACAATACGCAATAATTAAAAGTTATTAAAATTGACTTCATTTCCAAAAGGGCAACAGAAACCAACAGAATTAGGATTTACTGGCCACCGGTTTACCAAATAGCTACTTTGTTTCATTTCCCCGTATTTAATACAAAAACACACTGAGATGGTGTAAAAATGCAATAATTTCTAGGGATTAGATGTCAACAAATCAGCGGTCTACAACAAGTTTGACAAATAATATCGCATACCGATTTTTACCCAGAGTATCTGTAATGGGGGTGGAGGAATAATACGACCTAAACTCCACATATACATCTCTCTAAAATCGAAAGGTGCATTTTATTTTCTTCCACTAGGGAATTATTATAAACGTCCCCTAAACTTTAGATACTGTTGTAACAGTGTCTGTTAGTGTCAGCCAGGCTGAGATGGATTCGTGCAAAGATGTCACATGCAAGTAAAAGTACGGTCCTGGCCGCTTGCTTCGAGTTCTCTTTGCAACAGTAACCTAAGGCTGCTCCTTAATGACTTGAATCTAAAAACCAGAAAACCAGCAAGCCCGCAGTGGTCAATCAGGCTGAGACAGCACCCTTTGCGGGCACGGGGAAAACAGGGCAACCCCAAATCTTGGTGGCTTGCTCCGGGCAGAGACCATGGGAGTGCTTGGATGGATGTGCTGCCCCGGGGACCTCCCGAAACCCCGGGCTGAATCTACGGACCGCACGGGCCCGATTTCCACAGTCGGCACGGTCCAGCCCGGAGATTAACCCCTTCACTCCCCCCACGCCCTCTCCGAGCTGCCCCGGCAGCCCTCTCTCCGCTGCTCCGTCGAGGCGAAGGAGCGGCGAGCTCTAGCGCGGGGCGGACCGCGGCTCGGGCAGGCGACGCGCGGAGACGGCGGCAGGCTCGGGGCCTAGTCCCGGGCAGCGTGTCCCGGCGCCCTCCCCCACTCCCACACGCTCTCAGGGCCGGGGTGCGGGAGCTCGCCCGCCTCCCGCCCTGGTGCCCACCTGCCCGTGGCTTGGGGCCCCTTCCCGCCAAGGGCACGGGCCGGAAGCTACCTGTGGGCCGCGGAGGGCCATGGCGGCCCGTTTCAATGAACCTCGTCGCTCGCCCGACTCCTCACGCTGCTTCCCCCGCTGCCGCCATCTTCTCGCCCGCACATACACACTCGCATCGGCCGCCGCGCCTGCGCACTGGTCGCACACCGCGGGGCGCGGGTAGGCCGGGCGCGCCGAGCGCGCGCTGCGCACGCGCGGCCGACAGGTGGGCGTGAGCGGCGGGAGCTGGCCCCGGGTGGACTCTGAGCCCGCGGTGCTTGGTCGGCTGTGTGTCTGCGGGGAGTGGACCAAGAGCCGCCCGAGCGCTGCTGCAGTGCCAGAAAGGGAAAGGACGGGAGACAGAGATAAAAACGTCAAAGCGCCTTGTGGCCCGGGCTTCTCACCTAGCCGGAGGCCACCTAGGTGATGGGCGGGACTCGGGACGTCTGGTGCTAGGGAGCCGTAGCTTGAGGTCTGCCCCGGTCTCCCGAACCCCAGGCTCTCCCTAAGCCAGGGTCTCGGAAGTTAGCGGGGAAGATCGGGTGGAGTCCCCTGCTTTATGGAGATCACATTTCCATCCATTGGTTCACTTATTCACTTTTCATTCATTCCACAGACATTGACAGCCTACTCTGTGCCATGCCCTTTACACGGCAATCGGAGGGTTTTAAAAAACAAACTTACGCACTTGGGGCCTGGCGAAGAGAAGCACACCCAGTGTTAACCTATTACACGCATACTGCGTATATCCAGACAGACCAGCTTTGGGATCAGTGGTTCAAGAAAGTGAGCCCCCTTTCTGACTATGCAGTTTACCATCTGGTTTGGCCCCTCTTCTAGCCAAGTGATTTCAAGCAAGCTACTTCTCTTTCCTAAGCCATTGGTTTCCTCACCTATGAATGAAACTAATAAATGTCTTATATCTGTGAGGATCGAATTAGGATGAGTGTGAGTAGACTGGCTAAGAGAGCCAGCCCTCAATGAAAATTAACTACTGTGATTATTAATAACCATTATGAACGAACATGTACAGAGAGCCTACTATTGCCAGGCCCTGTGCAAAGCCTCAGAAAGATCTATTCCTACATTGGTAAGACATGTAGCCTGGTCTTTTTAAAAAATGGGTTGCTGTGCTCGCTTCAGCAGCATGTATACTGAAAAATGGGTTGCCATGAAAAATGTAAGTTGGGGGAGAGATTGTTCTAAAATAAAACAGCTAAAAAGACATATTCAAATACAGTGTGTGGCCCTCAAATGGATCCCGGTGTGTGTGTGTGTGTGTGTGTGTGTGTGTGTGTGTTTTAGCCAGTAAATATTTTTCGACAACTGCAGAAATTTGAGCTAGTGTGGATATAATTGATTTTAGTGAATTATTGGTAATTTTCATAGTGTAATAATAGTATGTGCTCATGTGAGAGAATGTTCTTGTTGCTATGCTATGCATCTGAAGAACTTAGGGCAAGTGTCACAGCATCTATGAGTTACTGTTTTTAATGGTTCAACAAAAAACCACATAAACACAAATGTACATGAACAGAAAGCAAATAATGCAAAATTTTAACAACTGTTGGATCTAAGCGATACTATCAACTTTGCTGTGTGTTTGAAATTTTTATAACAGAAAGCTGGGGAAACTGAATATAATATTGTATCCATGTCATGGTTACAACCACAGAAACATTACGTCTGTACATGGATAAGCGCTGGGAGGGATCTGAAAGCCCACCGGTGACTTATGATGGCTGGTACCTGATTTTTAGTATAATGGTGCTTCAATCAAAAATAAACATTGTGATAAATAAGACCGAGTTCTAACTTTTAAATTACTAACAGATATTAACACATGGTTTCAATACAAGGAGATAAATGCATTTAAAAGGAAAATATGAACAAGGCTGTGGGCTCTGCAGTGCTGAGCAGGCCCTGGTGCTTCCAATGGGTCTAGGAACAGTAGAGAAATCCAGAGTCAAAAGAGATGTAAATTAAAATCCTGACTCCCCCACTCACGGACTGAGTGAACTTCATCAGGTTACTTGACCTTTCTGTGACTATATTGTAGAAGGAGATATGGTAGGCAAAATAATGGCACTATACCCCCCACACCCCCAAAATATCCACATCCAAATCCCAGGAATTTGTGAATATGTTAAAGGACATGGCAAAAGGGTCTTTGCAAGTATAATTAAATTAAAGATGTGGGGTTGGGGAAATTATCTTTGGATTATCTCTTGGGCCCCATGTATACACAAAGTCCTTATAAGAGGGAGACAGGAGAGTCAGACAATGAGACAAAAAGATGACAGCAGAAGCAGATGGGAGAGAGAGTAAGAGAGAGAAAGGGAGAAGGAGGAGAGAGGGAGGGGGAGGAGAAAGAACGAAATGAAAATGCTTTGCTGCTGGCTTTGTAGATGGAGGTAGGGTCTGTGAGCCAAGGAGTGCAAGCAGTCTCCAGAAGCTAGAAAAGGCAATGAAACAGATTTTCTCCTAGAGTTTACAAAAAGAACGTAGTGAATCTTAGGGCCTAAAGATCTGTAAAATAAATAATTTGGGCTGGTTTAAGCTGGGAAGTTTGTGATTGTTACAGTAGATGTAGGAAGTTAATACAGGGGTTAATATCGCCTACTCTGCAAGCATGTTGCCAGGAGGCTAGAGCACATGGAATATTGTGCCTGACACTTTTAACCACCATTTAACAAATGCTGAGAGATTTTTTATTATAGCCCAGGGAAGGTGTAAGATTTCCCCAAAAAGGTAACATTTGAGCTAAGTCCTGATGAGTTTGTCTTTGTCAGGAGGGATTCATCTAAATCTAGGGGTACATGATCTGACAAGCAGGAATTCATTCCCAGCGCCAAACAGGCAGAACATTTCAATTAGGCCTGTCTTACATGGACAATTCTTCTCTGGAACTCTGATAGTACAGCGGAATACCACTCACTGTGTAACCTTGGGCCCCTACCTAATCTCTTTGGACCTCTTTTTCCTCATCTGTAAATTAATACCTGGCAGAGATAGAGTGAAAACAAATATATGTAATAACAAGATAACATTATGTAAATCACTTAGCAAGCTGTTGAGCATACAGCAAGAGCTCACTAAATGGTAGAAATGATCATTATTATTCCCAGACTCCTTGGGAAGGAAGGTGATATTTGCACAGGAAGGGCTCAGAGCATTTGACAAAAGTTATTGTCCATGATAACATTCAAACTTTCAAACAAAAATTAGAATTCTGGGAAAATCACTTTCACCATTGTGATCTGGGCAGCTTCCCAACACTGAAAACTTTTCTGGTGAGGTTGGTGGTGATAGTAACAAAATAATTTTTTTAACAATAACAAATCATGCAATGTTTCAACATTTGGAAGATCTTCATAACTTAGTGAATCAATATTTTCCAAATGACCCATGTGGGATGTTATAAAATCATGTGTAAGTAAAAGATGCATTCAGAATACAAGATAGACCAATGCATTTTGATCAAACAAGGTACAAAAAGTTCATTGACATGATTTTACATTCCACTTGGCAATTTTCCTTTAAGAAATTTGTCTTCTTTTGGCAGAGCAACAAAGGGAAACATCCACAATTACCTAAAGAGGCCACTCCTTTTGAGGAATAAACAAAAAAATAAACACCTCCCTCCCTCCTTTCCCAACTATATTATCTGTGGGAAGCTGGATTTTCTTCACCTACTTCAAGTAAAACAACATATCACAACAGACTGGATTCAGTTGCCAATAGGAGGAACCAGCTGTTTTCCAGACATTCAAGAGCTTTCCCAAAACAATAACAACAATAACAACAACAATAATGAACACCACACTTCTCACCAAATTTTTGTTTAGGAAAATAGTTATTTTTATTAAAATATGTTTTATATGTTAACATATAGAATGAATTTATGATTAATAAATTATCATACATGTTCTTTAAATGTCTCAGTTTTCCTTCCTAAATGGTAAATTGCAAGGGATACCTCACAAAAACAAAACTTTTCGTGGGGGTAGTCAGGAATAATTTTGAAAAATATCAAGAGGCCCCAGACCAAGTAGTTTGAGAGTGACAGCTCTAAGGCTCCAGGCAGGCTCCCAAGCTGACTCTGCAGGTGCCTTTCCACCTGCCTGGAACTTTCTGTCCCCTCGCTGGCTCAGGTCTCTGATGGCCCTCTCCTCCAGAAGCACTTCCCTGACTGCTCTATCTGTGATGGCCACCCACCACCTTCCCTCCCGTTATCCGCTTTACTTTTCTCTGCAGAATGTGTCACTAGCTGATGGGCTGCAGGGTGGTTGCCTTACGTGGGCATTGCCTGTCTCCTCCACCAGACTCTAAGCTCCATGAAGCCAGGAGCTTGGCCTTTTTCACTGATATTTTTCCAGCACTTTTGACAGTTCCAGACATTTGGCAGCTGCTCAGTAAATAGTTGTTGAATGAATGGATGTATGAACAAATGACCTCACTGAATACTCACAAAACCCAGTCAGGTGGAGACTATTGGTTTCCACATCATAGGGCTGAGGAAACTGAAAGAAGATCACCTAAATCATGATTTGCCTGAAATTGCATCTCTTATAGTGAGGCAGCAGATTAGGGTTTTAAAGATTTTATTTATTTATTTATTTATTTATTTATTTATTTATTTATAGGGGCAGGAAGGAAAGGAGAGGGAGAGAAATAGCACACCCCCAAATGGGGGACCTGGCCTGCAAACCATGCATGTGCTCTGACCAGGAATCGAACTGGCAATCTTTCAGTTCACTGGCCAGCACTCAAGCCACCGAGCCACACCAGCCAGGGCCAGGTTGAGATTTTAAAAATAAGTTTGCCAAATGTAGAGTTGGGATCCTACTTGGAAATTGAGTCAAACCAAGTACCATAAAAAGACATTTTTAAAAACAATCTTGGAGTCTAGATAAGGTCTGGAGGATACCAAGGAATTTTTTACCAATAAGTGTGTTAGATGTGCTAGTAGCATTGTGGTTATGCTAGAAAATATTGTTTCTTGTTTTAAGAAAAGTATGCTGAAATACATAAAGGTAAAATGACATGCTGTACGGAATTTGCTTTAAAATATTTGAGGAAAAAAACAGGAAAAAAAAAGATAGGTGAAGCAAATGTGGGAAGA